GGGGACCGCGGGCGGCGCCCAGGGGAAGACGCGCCTCTCCAGCGCCCAGCAGCCTGAACTGCTTCCAGAGCGGAGGGCGCAGCAGAGGAACACCTACAGGAGGGAGGCGCGTTGCAGGGGGGCTTCAAGGAAAAGGCCAGCCTTGAAGGGAATCCGGGCAAGAGGACTTTCAGGCAGTGCTCCGAGCAGCGGGTGCCCACCTGGGGACAACTCCAAGCCCAGGCGCCTGGAGGCCACAAGCCTCCCCGACCTCTGGTGATGGGGCACACAGGGCCAGCTCCGGGGAGTTCCGGTGGGTACAAAGGTCTGGGCTGCATCATGCCCTCAGGCAGGGAGGCGCCCTAGGGCTTCACCTGCCCTTCTACACATAGAAGCTGCTCCTTTCCAGACCCCTGGAGCCCCCAAGTCTTCATCAAGCACATCCGCTCTGCGAAGATTTGGCAGCTCAGCTGGAAATCAGCAGGCCGTGCGTTTGCCGGACGGCCCTGAGGCCCGGGCTTGTGGGAGAAAGAAGTCGCTGCAGGAGGCAGCAGTGGCAGACGAGAGGATCGATGACTGACGGTACGCTACCTTCGCATCCCAGAAGGGCTGCCACAGAAGAGGCAGAGGACTGGCTTGGTCTTGCCCCACAGGACAGGACCAGAGCCAAGGGGCTGAAACCGCAGGAAGGAGGATCGGGCTGGGCATCTGGAGGCACCCGCCTTGTGAAGTGCTGCGTGCGTTCTCTTTGCTGGATGACCGTCGGTCAGAGATGCCCTGTGGGGTCCTGCCTGAGCAGGGAGTTGGACCAGATGACCCCAAATGGCCTTTCCAACTCTAGGACGCGAGGTGTCCTGTGGCTAGGACCTGAAGTAGGTCACAGGGAGACTCCCCCTTTCCTGCTTACCCCTTCCTTTAGCTGCCCTCCCCCCAGCTGCTCATAGGTTGGTCTTTGGGGAGCAACCTCTGAATGGCTGCCACCCTACCAATCTCGTTGCTTGTGCTCCCCCAGCCAGCCCAACCACAAAGCAATTGCACGCAAGCAATTAAAGCTGATTTATGTATAAAAAGGGGGGATGAGGGTACATGGGGGCTGAGGTCTTATTCTTTGTAGCTCTCGGACCTTTCAAGGCTTTTGCAAATCAGGTGGCTGGAAACGATTTAATTTTTCTGGGTTGTTGGACGCCATCTGGGAGAAGTCCCGAAATATGTCCTGGTAAGTTTCGTCTCCTGCGAAAGAAGGGGAGATGCGGCATTGAAGAAGTGCCGCCTACTTCCACAGAAGCTCCCAACTAGCCTGCCCTGGGGAGTCCTCCTGTCCGGCTGCACCGCAGCCCCCTTTCTCATCCAGCCACTGGGGAGGGCTCTGTAGCCCCCCGTAGCTGACTTTATATTCCAGGCAGTTCTGTACTTGCCACATGAGCCTCGGACAGGAACCCGACATTTTCCCACTGGGATGCCGGGATTGTGACAACCAAACTGCAGGGCTTGGGGATTGAACATCCTAGCTTGTGCACAGAGCAGCAGCAGCCGCTGCCGCCGCCACAGGGTGTGAGGTGGCCCCCAGTGGCTCGTGGCCTGTGGATCACCCCACTCCCACCACTGCTGACACTTTCAAACCCACTCCTCTGAGGAGAGTGGCCCTTCTCCTGGCAGGGCTGCTGGCCCCCCTCTTTGAACGCAAGGTGCTCCCTCCTTCATGCACCCCCAACTGGCAAGGTCCCCAAAGCACCCGGGGCAAGAGCGGGGCTGGCCATGCCAAATCCCTGGGTGCAGCTGGGATCGGGCCCCGTGGCATGCACCGCTTCGTTGAGAACGGCCTTCCGCCCTGAGCCACTGAACCCGAGAGCCAGGAGAGCAGCTCGGGCCCCACGGCAGACTCTACCTGGAGAGAGCGCCTCGCAGGCAGCCGTGTGGAGGAAAGCTCAGAGTTAGAAAGAGAACAGGAAGAAAGGCAGCGGAGGGGAGTGGCTTCTGGCCCTCCCACCGGGTTCAGGAAGAGACGGCACGGTCTCCCTGAAGGCCGCCGAGAGGGAGAGAACAAGTGCAGCTGGACAGTGGCCCCAGTAGCCAGGCGGGGGGCTCCCTCCTATCCAGGCTCAGGCTGGCGGCCCCTCGTCGGGGAGGCTTGGATTCCCGCAACTCCCGAGCTGGGCTGGGCTGGGCCTCCAGGGCCCTCCCAACTCTAGGACTCTGCCCTGCAAGATGCGGTGTTGCCCTGCGCACCAAGAGAAGAGGTCATGGCAGACCCAGCCCGGATGATGCAATTCCACCCTTGAGGACACGCAACTGGGGCACAAGCATGCTGACCAAGACGTGTGGTGTCCACAGTCAGGGCAGCGTCTTCCCGTCCGTCTCCCCACCCTGAAGCTAGATGTTCCAGGCCAGAAGACTGCTGCTCCTTGCCAGCCGGCAGGAAGGCCTGGGGAAGCCGCGGCCAGATGGCACCGGCAGCAGGCCAAACCCAGGGAAGAAGAGTGGGAATCCCCAGCCTGTTTTCCAGGGTGGCTTTTAGCTGGGACCCCCACTAGCCAACTACCCCTCACTGGCTACCCTACTGGCGGGATAGGGAGAGTGCCACCCAATGGATGAAGTCCGAGAGAGGGAAAGGATTCCAGTCCAGTTCAAGGAGCAAGAGCGAGTTCCCTCTGCTTTCCTCCTGGATGAGAGGAAGGCCCTCCTGCCTGCCCCCCCCCCCCACGCACGGGAAGCCGGGCTGGGGGCACCACCAACGCCCCCATATCTCCCCAGATCCCCCCTGCAGGTGGGCGGCACACTGCGGTGGACG